CAAAAAAAAAAAAAAAAACAGTGAGGCAGAATGGAAAGGAAACCTCAAGAACCTTTGTCATCCCTCAGTCACTCCCTCATTAACTCTTCCATTTATTGAAAATTTAAAAAGACATGATTCCTACAGTTAGGGTACTCTGTCCTAGGGAAATGGAAAAGACCCACAGCTATCACACGATCAGGAAAACTCCTAACGGGAGATACCTAAAAAAAGTTAATTCAGGCCGGTGTGATGGCTCTTGCCTGTAACCCTAGCACTCTGGGAAGGTGGATTGCCTGAGCTCAGGAGTTCAAGACCAGGCTGAGCAAGAGTAAGAAACTAGCCTGGCATTGTGGCAGGTACCTGTAGTCCCATCTACTCAGGAGGCTGAAGCAAGAGGATCATTTGAGCCCAGGAGTTAGAAATTGCTGTGGGATAGGATGCTATGGCACTCTATCCAGGGCACAGCATGAGACTGTCTCAAAAAGAAAAAGTTCATTTAGAGAAGAAATCTCATACTTAGAAGGCTACTGGACAGTCCTGATTGGAAAACATGCCAGGATTCTGAAAATACTAGGACAGTAGAAGAAAAAAAAAATCATTGCTAATTCTTACAACATCTTGCTGAACTGACATTTGTAGTAACACCTGCCCTAGCCAGAGGTCTGCTGGCATCTCCCAAAGCAATTACTACAAGCTCCCCTCAGCTAGGGATGATGAGCTGATGGTGACAACTAATCCATGCACAGCACTGAAATGAACCAGGTTCTGTCTGCCCACTCCCCTATGGTTACCCAGTAATCTCCACAAGAGCCCTATAAAGTAGATACTGTAATTATCTCCATTGTACAGATAACAAAATTACAGCACAGAGAAGTTAAGTGGCTTGCCCAAGGTCACCCAGCCAGGATCTGAGTCCAAAACCTGTGCCCCTAGGCATTACACCGCACTGCTTCCCAGCTGAGATCTTACTGAAAATTTATCAGGACATACACAAGTGGATGATACAAGATGATTTCTAGCCAACTTTCCTTTAAACACATGCATCCGTTTAAAACTACACTTATTTATATGACAAAAATGCGTACACCTTCATCAATCTAGTTTAGAAAATGGTTTAGCTTTACAAGACACAGCTTAACAACCTTTAAAGGGAAATTCGCTTTTTTGTTAGTTTGTTTGTTTTGTGAGACAGAGTCTGACTTTGTCACCCATGGTAGAGTGCTGTGGCATCATAGGTCACAGCAACCTCCAACTCTTGGCCTCAAGCAATTCTCTTGCCTCAGCCTCCCAAGTAGCTGGGACTACAGACGCCTGGATACTTTTAGAGATGGGGTCTCGCTCTTGCTCAGGCTGGTCTCAAACTTCTGAGCTCAAGCAATCTGCCCACCTTCTGAGCCACCATGTGAAGCCTTGGAAATTCACTTTTTAAAACAGTATTTTTTCTTTTTCTTTTCTTTTCTTTTCTTTTTTTTTTTTTTGTAGTTTTTGGCCAGGGCTGGGTTTGAACCCGCCACCTCCAGCATATGGGGCTGGCGCCCTACTCCTTTGAGCCACAGGAGCCGCCCTAAAACAGTATTTTTTCAAAAAAACATATATATTTTCAAAAGCACATCTTAGCTTCAAAGGGAAATTCACTTTTACGATATGAATAAAAAAAATCAAAATCAGTCATGAGGTGCCAGTGGTGAATGCAGTTTAGACTAGGGCTTGTAAGTACCACCCCTTACAGATCATCTCGCGGCCTTGGGCAGATTGTTTAGCTTTCTCTGTTCTCCATCTGCAAAATGGGTATAATGGTAGCACCTAAAGTGGTAAGGATTAGAGGACACTATCTACATGAATCGCTAAGCACAGCACCTCACATGCCGTGAATGAACGCTCAGTAAACGGCTTTCACTATTTAGCTCCTGGGTATTCTCCATTTCCAGAAAGTTAAGTCCTCCAGTAACACAAAATGCTTTCCCCAGAGTCTCTGCCAATCCCCTTAAGAACATGTCTATTTCTCACAGAGCACACACAGTGTCATCAGAAGCAGGCTTCCCTGGACCCCTGCCTTGGAGGTGGCGGCCACGTCACCTCCCTCCAGCCCAGGAAGGAGACAGGCTATGTCTCCAGCCGGGCTGCAGCGCAAAACTTGACCCGGCTTTCTCGTTTGGGTGAGCTCATGTTAGTGGAGGGTCACAGCGCCCAATGTGACTGTCTATGCTGGAGAGAGAATACCGGCGCCGGCGCCAAGAAGTGGAGCTCACTCACCTGCCAGGCCCCAGGGCAGGAACCCCCCCCCCCCGCTTCACAGCATCTCCGGGGACTTTGTCCCCCTACCGCCAGGAGGCTAGTGGGGACAACCTAACTGTGCCAACAGCGTGGAATTCTCCCAAATCCTCTGAAATGCATCGCCAGGATTTCTAGGAGGGAGCAGAGGGAGGAGCGCAGTGCTCCGGGAGGCCAAGTGGAGCGGAACATCCCCGGCGCGCGCGCTGAGCCCCCTGCGCCGAAGTCCGTGCAGCCGCCACCTCTGCGTGTGCTCGGCGGACACGTGCGACCTGCGTCGCCGGCGGTTCTCGCCCCGGCGGAGCGGCCGCTTGCTGCTTGCACTCACCAGGTGAAGAGTTTGTCTTTTATCCTGCGCAGCAGGCTCCGGGACGCTCCCTCCGCTCCCCGCGCAGCCGGCTGCGGGGCGCCGGGTCCCGCCGGCGACGCTGTCTCCATGGGGGCCCCCGCGCGTCCCCCGCGCCCGGAACCCCCCGAGGTACCGGGGGCGGAAGACGGGAGGCGGCGCCTGGCGGCCGGCGGGCTCGGCGGGCCCGGCCTCGCGTCGCTGCTCGCCGGGCTTCTGGCGTCCCTCTCGCTCCGCCGCCGCGCTCGGGCTGCCGCCAATCATTAACCGTGCAGCCCTAAGGGCCAGACAATACACTTGCAGATCGCGACCTGGCACCTCCCGGGGCGGAAGGGGAGAAAGGGCAGGTTTTTTCTTCGCTTTGGCGGTGACACGCAACGTGCATTTCAGGTTTTTATGGCTCCTTGTTTGAAATCAGCAGACGAGGTGATACGAGGTTACCGTGGCGGATTCCCAGGATGTCGTAACCTAAAGAGCAGTGACTTCGCGACTGCCTGAACTTCTCAAGGACCGGCGGACCCCTCCCCTTATCTCCGGGTTTCCCTTCCTCAGACTGTTAGATCTAAAAAGACCGAAGACCCCTCAGTTCTGTTTCTTTTCCTCGCTGAGCGCGGGTGAGATCCTGGAGGTGTGTCTTGGCGGCGTGCGGCGCGTTCCCCGAGCCTTTCCGCGCTCCGCGCTGTGAGCCGAGCAGAGGGGCCCGGGGCCAGCCCGGCGCTCAGCCTGGATCCCGGCCTGGCCACGCCTCCCGCGGCTCCCGCGGCTCCCGGGGACCAGACCGGGGCCAGAAGCTGGGGTCCAAAAGTTCCTGCCTGTCGCCGACAAGAAGGAAGTCAGCGGGTCTCGCTGACCCGCTGCTTCCGGAAAAGGAGATGCGGAAGACAAAAGGAAAGGTGTTGGGACCTTTTTTTTTTTTTTTTATTCTGGCCACCTCCTCCTTGGGAAGGGGGGAAATGGGGACATGAAATGGACGTGTTTGGAGAAAACAGCCACTGCGGACCAGTTGGCAGTTCTGTAAGACGATTCTAAGAAAAAGAGTAGGTGCCGAAAACAAAAGTAGCTTAAGAAACCCCAAATTTAGCAGCTACAGAAACCCAATGTTTGACTGAAGTTATTTTTTGAAAACTGTTGAAGAGAAATGCGGGAGGGAAAAAAAACCCGAAAGCTAAGAACGTGGTATTCCTAGAGAACTCATAGTATATTATGGTACCACCACATCATGAAACTTGAGGACATTAAAAGCACATTTAATATGATGTCATTTTGCAAAGCAAAGAATTAATTAAACCCAACCTTATTTGCAGTGTTTAATTTTACCTGAGTCCTGTACTCCTGGAAAATAGTGGGGGGGGGGAAATGATGACTAAGAAAGCTCCCACTTTAAAAAAAAAAACTGTGAATATATTTAGTCATGTTTGTTTACAATTGAAACTCTGGGAATTCAAAATTAACGTCCTTGCCTGTGAGCTTCTTATAGACACCAGAAAAAGTTTCAACCTTGTGCTCCACGTTGTTCTCCTGGGCTTTGTCCAAGTGCACCTTTATGAGTCGGCTGCCGTCCAATTTCACACGGACTCTCTTGCCCACAGTTTCACTTGGGAAGACTAAGTCCTCAAGGATCGCCTCGTGCACAGCTGTCAGAGTGCCGCTGCTGGGACGCTTTTGCTTATTTTTTGTAAGGCTTTTTCGAGTTGGCTTAGGCAGAATTCTCCTCCAGGTAATGAAGACAACATGCTTCCCACTGAACTTTTTCCTCCAATTCCTGTACTAGCCGGACTTGAATTTTCTGGAAAGATTTCAGTTGAGGAACGGGAACAAAGATTATGATAGCTTTCCAACCACCAGCAACTTCAATTTCCTTAGCTGCAGTTATATTCAGCTCCCAGAGCTGAGCCTTGAGGTCCGAGTTCCTCTCCAGCTCCAGCAGGGCCTGGGAAATGCCCGACTCGAACTCATCCAGCTTCTCGCCATTAGGCTTCACCATCTTGGTGCTTGAGCTGAACATGGCTTTCTCCATGCAGAAAGCCGAAGAGCCCTTTTTTTTTTTTTTTTTAAGGGAGACAGGTCTCACTATGTTTCCCAGGCCTTGAACTCTGGGCTCAAGGTCAGGGAATCCCCCACCTCAGCCTTCCCGTGTAGCTGGGACTATGGGTGCTCCCCACCCTGCCACCTAGGAGATCTCCCACCCCTTTGTGTTCCTATCAGTGGCAAAGTGCAAACAAACGCCTTCCCCATATGATTTAGGAAGGCCCCCGAGAATGTCCCCGTTGTTTACCTACGTCAAGACTGGACACATTCCCCAATCTCTCATTCTTTGTCATATAAATGATTGGCTGAACTGCTGGTCCACCTGACCAACTGGAACAAAATGCTTGCTAAGAAATTTTGATTTGGCTCTGTGCACGTAGCATAGTGGTTATGGTGCCAGCCACATACACTGAAGCTGGCCAGCTTGAACCAGCCGAGGCCAGCTAAAAGACAGTGACAACTGCAACCAAAAAAATAGCCAGGCAGGCACCTGTACTCCCAGCTACTTGGGAGGCTGAGGCAAGAGAATCACTTAAGCCCAGGAGTTGGAGGTTGCTGTGAGTTGTGATGCCACAGCCCTCTCTCTACCAAGGGTAACATAGTAAGACTCTGTCTCAAAAAAAAGAAAAATTTTGGTTAAGCTTCTTTCCTTCCCCTAGGCCTCTGAATTTTAACCCACCCTCACCGTGAGCCAGGATGAAACCCCTCCTTACTAGTCCCTCCTGAGAACAGGGTGGCCTCAGGGTGAAATGCCCTATTGCCTTATCCAGTCAAGCCACCCTTACATTCCAGCTCACCCAGGCTAAGAAAGAACATCCCCTCCCATTGCAGTAACTCTTCCCCTCTCCACCCTTATAATAATCCTTTCAAATAGTCTTTCCTTAACCAAATCAGATTTGTTTATTGTTTGGGGGGGGGTTGCAGTTTTTGGCTGGGCCGAGTTTGAACCCACCACCTTCAGTAAATGGGGCCAGCACCCTACTCCTTTGAGCCACAGGTGCTGCCCTTGATTATTGTTTTTTGTTTGTTTTGAGACAGAGCCTCAAGCTGTCGCCCTGGGTGGAGTGCTGTGGTGCATCACAGCTCACAGCAACCTGCAACTCCTGGGCTCAAGCAGTTCTCCTGCCTCCGCCTCTCAAGTAGCTGGGATCACAGGTGTTGCGTTGGGGTTTCGCAAGGGACAGACAGTGTTGCCACAAGTGTAGTCTCGCATCTGGAATTATTATGATGAAAGAGACAGACTACC